TCTTGCAAATTTGCATCTTCTCATTTTGGCCTTTGGAGGCCCACTGCTGATGTGACTTCTGTGCATGTGTGCTAAATGTACATTGCCCCCAACTACATTGCAATGTACATTTAGCACACATGCGCAGAAGTCACATCAGCAGTGGGCCTCCAAAGGCCAAAATGAGAAGATGCAAATTTGCAAGATGTGGAAGAAGGCAGCAAAGGCAATGAGGAGTTCTGAGCTGGCTAGTAATAGCCAATAGGCCAGGTTTACCCTAAAAGAAACATACTGGGTGGAATTTATCAAAACACTTGTTTTAGCCTCTTAGGAACACATTTTTAGCCTCTTAGATCATTTGTTTTATGTGGAAATCTGTCTTTTAACATGTGCCCCTGTTTTCTTCAGAGCTTGCACTACTTTTTCATCTGCATGTTTTTTGCACCTTTTTTGCCCGTGTTTTCATCTGCACTTGTTCTGGGCTGTCTGAAACTGGAGCATCCCCTAAGAAAACACTCACAACTTAAGAAGTCCCCATGACCACTTCTTCAAGATGCGACAGTTAAGCTTTTTGCCTGAAGTTAGAAGTCTTCTTTCTTGGAGTCTATTTAATCTCACTTATCAACAACATTACACTAGTTTGATAAATCTGGTGCCAATATATTCCGTGCAAGTTCAAACACTTGCAATTCTAGATAAATTCCCCCCACTGAATGTTGCCACGCATTGTTGCATTGCAATAAAACAGAACTCAATGCAAATATTAAAACAAAAAACACATTTTAATGCAGCTATGTGTATATTTAAAAAATCATTAAGGGCTCATTGTTACTAGTGGTTGTGATAATGTGAACCACACCTAAAAAACTAATTTTAGATTCATTTGCTCCCCCCCCCCCAGCCTCATATGAATTCCATCTATATCCAATGAAGGAGAGTTGTAAGTAGCAAGAAATCAAAAGGCAGGGTAGACAAGGAGGGAGGCCTCCCCCGGTGACACTTAGGAGAAATGGGCCTTACTGCTGTGGTTTTAACACATATTGGTAGGGTTGCCACCTGTTTGGGATTCACCGGACATTCCGAGTTTTGAGTCGTGTATGTGCTGTGTCTGGGTTTCAGGCCAGCTGAAACCTGGACATTGTTGGTTATATGTTTAGATGAAGCACTGAAATCTTAAGGAATGCTGAATTAAGTTGTACTTGCTTAGAAGAACATTACATGTATGCATACAGTACTGTGAAGAAAACAGAAAAAGACTTCATGTGTGTCATAGATAAGCATGTACATAGAGACTAACATTGCACTACTGTACAGTGCCATCTACAGCTCAAAGACAAATGACATCAGTATATGCTAGTGTATTTCCAAGTGACACAAGATGTCATGATGTCATGCAGACAGGGGCAACCACAGGGTCCTGGTGTTCCAACTTGAGTGCATGGAGGAGGTATGGGAGAAGGTGTCTGAAAAACAGGGTGCAGATAAGGCTTGAAAGGCACAGGGGTTCTGCTTCAGGCAGATGTATTGCTTTCTATATCTCCTGATTCTCTCCCCTGGCTGTCTCTCCTCTCTCTCACTGGCTGTCTCTCCTCCCTCTGCCCTGGCTGTCTCTCTTTGCTCTCTCCTTGCTTTCTCTACTGGCTCCCTCTCTGCTCATCTTCCTGACTCTCTTTGCTCTCTCCCTTGGCTGTCTCTCCTCGCTTTCACTCCTGGCTGTCTCTCCTCACACTCTCTATATGCACTAGAAATCATGGATACAACAGTTTAAAAGATACCAATGATGCAACCAAATTGATACATTCCCCCCAAATTCTCATTACATTTTTAAAATGTATTTTATCAGCAGGGGACCACATAGGGCACTAGGTCACTTTTGGATCCTTGACCCCAATGTGGAATAAGCACCTCTTTATTTATATTAATGCTGTATTTACAAGCAGCCCTGGCAGATAGATCCTAGCCTGCAGCTGTACAGTGCTGACTCGGGCTGGACAGTAATCATCACTGGATTGGGGAGAATTGTAAGCATGTTACCAAGTGGACTGCACTGAGATGGGCGGGGTGACTGAAAGGAAGACTTTGACAAAGTTTAAAGTGACATTAAACTGAGGAGTTAAATCTTAAAATGCATTCAAGTCCCCTAACTATTAATGAAAATTAGTAAACTAAACATGAGATTGCAGTCCATCACGGGAGTGAGCTGTGGCGGCTTTGCAACACACAGGGAACATGAAGAACAAAACTAGCCACACTCCAGAAGGAAGGACAGTGTCAGCACCAATTCAGAGATGACTGGTGGATCTACAGCCGAGTGATAAACAAATAAGATACATTTTTGTTGATAGTTTTTAAGATTTAACTCCTGAGTTTAGTATCACTTTAAGTTGGCCTCCAAGATTGCTATATGCAGGATCTGTGTATATGGGCAATGTGTTGCTACATTTAATTGTAAGTACAGTCAAAACTTGTTTTTATTGATACAGTAGGGAAGGATTAAAGGTGAACTATGGGGTTAAGGCTTTTCCCCATAGTTCTCCCGTCACCCTAGGCTCAGTATACCGCAAGCTGTAGCTCGCGGTATACTGAGATGCCGCTGCTGAAGTGGATCCCGACAATTATGCCAGTAATCCGCCCAGCTACGTGAGTGACAGCTGGCTCTGCCTATCTAGAGGCAGAGCCAGCTGTACACGCCCCCTCCTCTGCCCGTTCCGCCAGTCAGCGCTGGCGGATCGGAGCAGGGAGGGGGGAATGCAGCCCCTCCCCTGTCATGGCAGAGAGCCGTGACAGGATCGAGAGGTGAGCGAACGCCGGTATGTGCTCGCTCACCTCCTGATCTACTGAGCCGACCTGTGACAGTCTCATTGTCACAGGTCGGCAAGAAGTATGATGTGAGTGAAAAGCACTCACCTCATAGTTCTCCTTTAAAACCTCTGTCAGGTTTGTAGGTGAAGGTAGATGCAGAAGCATACATCCTTTTTTTTTTTAATTTAGGTACCCTCCCATGTAAAAGAAAGGGGGCACATGTCCAGCAACACAAATAAATGAGGATTTTAGTAAAAGCACCAACCTATAATGCATCTGGTGTTCATTTCAATGTGGCACAGTGTAATGTAAAGAACATTTGAGTGTGCTGAGCTGAATATCTTAATACAACTTTTCAGCTCTGGTTGCTAGAATTCTCGAGTTTGCCTGTTAGGAATATTCTGTTGAATTTTTGTGTACATAGTCTAACATTTCTACACAGAGATACAGGCAAAAACAGAAAAAAAAAAGAGTATAGCATGTGAAAAAGTTTACTTCTCTACATTAGAAACCATCTTAAATGTTGTCCATTTTTTTTTTACATTTCAAAATATACAAATACCATATACACACAGCAAAAAAACAAACACAAATATGTATAAAACTATCACCAACTTACATTCAAGGTAAAATCACATCATAATGAGTTATGTACTTCCTGTGCATCTGTCAGCTAAAAACAAAACATAGGAGGTGCCTGCAATTGATGAATAATTGGGTCTTACTGCTGTTGGGCAGAGACACTTAAAGCATATCTAAAGCCAAAACTTGTTTTTTTTTTAGTTTTGCATTCAGGGGGGAAGTGCTGAAATCCCTTTCAGGTTTTTTTCTGCGCTGTGTGCCTGCTAGTGAGATTCACCCTCTCTATTTCATCAGGTTATCACCAAGACAGAAAGTAATGGGAAACCTAATGTGTTACTGTTACCACCTGAGCAGAAGTAGAAAGGAAATCTTTCTTTGGAGAAATCTGTACCAATAACAACTGGTACCCATCACTCTAGAGAGGTTTCCTCTCACTTTCTGTTCCATCTCAGGGAACTGTCCCCTATAAAAATGGACAGCCAATAAAACCTGACAGGGGGTTTAACCATTTACCACTCCATCCAAAACAAAAAGTTTTGGCTTTAGATATACTTTAAGTGCTGCTTCATGCAGCTCGAACACTAGTTACAGTCAGAATGGAAGGTATACTTTAAGAATAAAAAGAGAGCTATAGGATAATTAGGGTAGTGGGTAAAGAACATGACTTTGTTATACTTATGTGCCAGGAGATATGGTACTATGAAATATTCGTAGCTAGTACTTGTGCTCTGACAGAGTAGGAATTATACAGAAAAATGTGGGGGGGGGGGGGAAAGTAAAATGTAAAATTTACACAAACCCCTGTGGAGTAATTTTCTGTATCTGCTACTCCAAATATCACAGCTCTAACACTTTGCAGCCACTGCCTGTCCACTTCCTGCACTCTGCCTTGGACAGCCAGGAGGTCCTCGTGGACTTCTATGGGGCCACCAGTTTATGGGATAGTTGAGCACAGAAATGGGTAGTGTGCAGTCATTAGCTGAACAGTAAGGAGAGCTACCAATTTGATACAACAGATCTAGTAAATTGTAATTTGCACACGTATCTCCCACAACCCCTCATGAGAACACATCCTGGAGTCTTTCTTTAACACTATTCCTGCTCAGTAAGAAAGGACAGCGGGCTCATCATAAAACATACATATCCTCATGTACACAGTGGCAGAACTACAGCAATAGCTACTTGTGAGCTTCCATTTTCTAACTCTTCGCCTCCTTGGTGTATATGGAAAGCAAACATTAATGACACTGAAAGTATCAATGGTGTCAATCTATGCATATTTGGTACGTGCATCAGTGCAATGCTGTAGGTCTGAAGGGTCAACTTTGTTGTTCATGCTGCTGTGGGCACATGGTAGGAGAAGAAGGGAATAATTGTACAGTTTTGGGATCTGCGTATTTTCCCCCAGAGTTTATTTTATTTTTTTACCTGGTCCTCCTCTAGTGAGAAATGTTCATCAATATGTATGTCTGTACCACATAACAAATTACAAAAACGTAACAGAAAAATTTAAAAAGCCCCCTAACACTTCAACATGTTTTACTTATTCCTTCATGGCCTCCTACAGAAAGAAGAAAAGGAATCAGGGAATGTATGGTGTATGCATATAAAGAGGCTCAGAAATGCACATGTAGTCCTGTATAGGGAAGGCTGAATCATATAACACTATACAACCATGAAAATTAACACATACAGGCTTTTTGTATTAACCAAGAAATAAATTAATATTCAATTGTCCGCTGAAATTCAGTCCTTCTTTGCCAGTTCACATTCTCTCTTGACACGGGAGAAAGGTCCCAATTCCTTGCAAAATACAAAGTCCCAAAGAACACGTCCCCACGATGTATGGTAAGGTAAGGTGTCGTAATACTCAGAAGCTATTCTACGTACCTGTAAGTGATGCAAACATACAAGGATTACTGACACGGTGCTGATAGATTTGAACATTCCAATGCTAAATGTTGTTAAAAATTTCTGTCATTTGTTAAAGTTTAAATGTTTTCACAAATGTATATGTTGTTTACTGTTTAAAAAAATGGTTTTACAATGAAACATTTAATAATAAAAATTTAATGATAGAGGATTCACAGAGCATTATGAGTTTTTAATGAGAGAGGACAGGACAAGCTTTCTGTTTCACACTGAAACGCTGGATAGAGCCACCTAAATACAACAGGAGGAAGGGGAGAAGACACTGCTGTGACATACGGTGATGTGAGTAAATTTCATCTTGAGCTATTGAGCTCAATAACAACATTACTTATTTACCCGACTAAAAATGCAAACATTTAAAAAAAAAAATTTTTTTGTCTTGATAATATTAACCCCTTCATGACCAGTGGTGTACAGTGTACGTCACTGGCATCGGGCCTGTTTAAACAGAAAAGCCATATAGAACATACCAAAAAAAGCCATGGTCGGGGTGGAAGGGTTGAGATTTTAGAGATTTTTTTAAAAAATTTTCTATATATTTACTGATTATGTATTTATATGTTTCTGAATTGAGGTTATAATACATTTACTTTCTATTGATATTCAGTATTAAGTGTCCTGATCTGGGATCTCTATATGGGAAAACAAATATTATATGTGAGAGAAATATCCAACAGGTGGAAATAGTTTGTATATAGTTATTCAGTGGCACTCCCCTCTCCCCATTATGTAAGATATCATGTTCGTTAAATAACCCGTTTTACAAGTAAGAGAATTTAAAACATAGGAAATACTATGTAACCATAAGGGAATGTGTTGTAGCCGAACTTCATATGAAGCTCACATTTATGATGTAATTGAGAATGCTTTGTCAAAGATTCCAAAACAACTATCCCTCAAGCCACAGTTTGACCAACCTGTCCTACAAGATACCTTAGCTGAACTTTGGAGCCAGGTCTGTTACTGCTAGAAACAGGTTAATGGATAACCACAATTTAAAGCCTGTAGCCAGGTGCCCTAACACAGTGAGCTCATGGCAAATAACGGTGACAACTTAGGAATTAATCAAAAAAGCATTTGTACATTTTATATGCTAGTGGAACAAAGCAGACCAAACCCGCCAGGGTGAAATCACAGCATGTACACTGAACATGTAATAGCTTACTAATAAAACTATGACATATTCACTTATTAAAAAGGTTCCAGCCATCAAAGGTGAAAAATCTGTTTTGTTTTTTTAACAGATACTGGGAGGGGACTATGGTGAGGAGTACTCTGCACCTACAGTAGGTTCCCAGGTTCATCCTCTTGCCACATTCATTGTGTGGTCTTTTTCTTCCTGCCATGGTTCTTATTTCTCTTATTTTGGCAGGATATAGACATACAAAGACTCCTGTTATAGGAGCAGGAGAAGTAAAACTTCCCAGTGGGAGTATTAAAGCTGGATTCACTTTTCAGAGGGATTTCTGAAAGATAAGGAAAGCTGTAAGTGTTGCTCTTAGCAAAGTTTTTTTTTTCAATTTTAGATTGAGTAGGGAAATGTTAAAACCTATGTTAGGACTATACTGCTGTCTGTGTCCACACTGGGGAGATTCACCCTCTCTAATTATCCTGGTGACCACTGTCACTGGGACAGGAAATAATGAAAAATCAAACATTCTACAGTTATTGACAGAATAGGTTCTGTTTACTCCTTTCACTAAAAATCACATAAATCACATCAGCATGCAGCTCTGCATGCTGATATGAAATCATCGTACATCCATTAAACAGACATATTTTTCTTTTGGTTACAATTATGGTTTTCCCACTTCCTGGTCCTTTCAGGCATTAGTGATGTCATTATGCCCAAGCATTGCATCCTGGGAAAGTAACGTCAGCAGGGCATTGCTGGGAAATCTAATCTGTAATCTCACAAGATCTCAGGGAAAGACATTTTCCTCGCCTGCGATAATGCGCATGGTCCTAGTCACATGTGCCAGAGTTCCAGGACGTAAAGGGAAATATATTAATCTGCTCGTAGTAAAAATGGCCACTGTGAGAAGACTGGGGAGGAAAAGAAAAAGTATTCAAAGAATAAAAAGACGGCAATTATCTAGGAGTATGTGTTTGTAAATTGTCATTACTAAACATTTCTAAAGTTGCCTTTGTTGTCATTTCAAAGATATGGGTAAAGTTCCTCTTTAATAGTTGTCCAAGACAGGGGTGTCCCGAGGCTGGGTGACACCCGGAGCGGTAACCGAGTGTCACCCTGCCGAGATGTCACTGTGCATGGAAGACATGATAATGAAAAAAAATAATGATAAACAATAGCTAATAAAGATCCACTGAAGCTAATCATCTTATAAATCCTGGCTTTCGTTTTCTGTACAGGTTCAGAGGTGATAACAGTCACATGCATTTAGGAGCCAGATTTATACAACCCGGAGAAATTAAACTAATTAGCATGTTTAATTTTTTTCTGGTGGAAGGGGAAAGAATGAAAGATTAAACCGTTCACTGAAGTCAACCTGTTCTTTGCTTTACCTGTTATAAACCTTATGTGTGCTGGTGTGTTTCTATGCCAGGCTTCTTAAATATCAGTTAGTTAAACTACTTGAAGCACATCTTTCCCATACAAAAAAATGGTAGATAAGTGGTCTTACCTCTGGAAGCTTGCTTCCAGGAATACTGGGGAAGTCATGATGTTCCATGTGATAGCCAACGTTGAAGGTCAGAAGGTTGAGTGGTCCATAGTAAGAGTATGTTTCATAGCCTCTTAAAAACATATAGTGCTCAGCAATAAAGTGCCCAGATATGGGGTGCAGACCCATCGACAGAATGGACCCAGCCAGTAAATATACAACAGGCTTCAGCCCCCAAAAATGATATATCATCATGTCAAAGGAAAACTGAACAACGGCATTAATGACCTCCAGGTGGGTGATGGGCTTGGGATTCACATAGAGAGGTCGTAGGACATATAGTAGCGGCTGCAGAATGATCCAGATGATCTTGCGTGCAGGAGTAGAGAAAAACCTTCCCTCAAAATCAGTGGGAATATCCACATCCAAGCCGTCACCCCCCAGATATCGGTGATGATCAATGTGGTACTTTTTGAAGGATGTGGAATAAGGCATGGCAATGGGGAGATTAGCAAACATGCCAAAGAAACGGTTCCAACGGGCTGATTTGTTACCAAATGCCACATTGTGAGAAATGTCATGAATGGCAAGAGTGAGTGAATGGTTTATCACACCACCAAAAGCATAGGACCAAAAAATCAACCACTTCCAAGACAGATCCTTGACGAGGTAACAGCAAAGGATTTGAACAAACACCATACAGCTGACAGTCCATTTAAGCTGTGGGTCAGGTCCCATTAAGGTCTTGATTTGTGGATATTTAGCTAAAATTATATAAAAAAAAAAGAAAACCGAATTAAAGTCATTGGATAAATACACACAAGAACATATTATAACCTTATTAACAAAGCAGTGTACAAAGTGCCAAACCACTGAATTGTATCAACCTGTCAGACTTCAGAATGTAAAAGATACATTCTGAATGCTGACTACCCATTTTAATTTGTCCTACCGAATAAGCCCGAATGTACTGCATATCATATTGACATTGAGAATTGAAGAAGCTATTTTATAAGATTACAATTTACAATAATTTCTTGATTTTGCTATTCTTTCCAAAGCACTGACAAAAGGAGTTTTGAATCCATCCTGCTTCTAGGCAGTAATCTGTTCTGCATTAAATGCATTTTGTCAATAACATTTTAATGTTAATGATTTGGACAACTTCCATGGGTAAAACAAGCATGTGTAGTCACTCATGGTAACCAATCAGAATTTATGTTGCACTAATCTGATCTTAGTACCGTAAAATGAAATCTGATTACATACTGGACTTTGCACATCATTACTGCTTTATTCAGAATAACCTTTGTATTTCTGCTAGTTTTTTGTGCTGCCAGTGTGGTGACTTCAGCTTCTTGTGTGAGGGTTTCAATATCAAAAACACATGAAAAAGCCAGACTGGGGGATCTTTTGTGGGTCCAAGAAGCACTGTCCTGGCAGTACACTGTGTCATGGTTTCTACTGTGCAAGTGTGTGCTAAATGGTGTAGTATCAACCCGTTAAAGCTAAAAAGTGTGCAAGGGGTGTCATGTGATGACTAAAAGCCTACTAGGAGCAAGTTATAGATCTTGTGACACCAGGGAGGTATGTGAAGAAAAACACCAATGAATGCGGTTACAGGATTATTAAAAATCAGTAATGAATTTTAAATGCAACAAATATAAATATCAGAATTTGTATTTATTTCAGCCTCTTTTTAATCGCCTTTAAAGCAGCATTCAGAATCAGAAAAGAGGGGAGCAATACTAGAGACAGGGTCAGATGTTCTGCATTGATGTGCCAAGGAACATGCTGACTGGGGAGAGAAAAAAGAGATGACATCACCATCCCATGTTGCTTAATGCCTAGCAGGAAGATGTGTAAGGGCCATATGCATCTCCCCGCCCAGCTCTTAGCAACCTGGGTTGACATCACTAGGTTGCCAGGAGCTCAGCAGGACGCCAGCCAGAGCGTCCCGTGGAGTTCCTGGCAACCAGTGACGACACCAGATTCCAGGAGCTCAGTGGGACACTCTGGCAACCAGTGATATCACTGGTTACCAGGAGCTTGGCGGTACCACGGACAGAGCTTCCCAGGTTGCTAAGAGCTGGGCAGGGAGATGCACAGCCCTTACACCTCTTTCCACCCAGCTCTTAGTGGTGTCACTCTCCACTAGCACCCTCTCTCCAACACCACTGATTGTAAACCATCCAGCACCCCCTGGCCGCCTCAGGCGGTAAAAAGTTTAGGGTCACCCCTGGCCAGGAATAAAATATACAGCATATACAATATATAGATATATATAGATATATATATATCTATATATATCTATATATTGTATATGCTGTATATTTTTTATAATTTTCCTCACATTCAGCAATTCAGCTTTAACTTCAGTGTTGCCAATCATTTATGCGGCCACCCTATACCAATTGTCTCTCCTTGTACCGAGATTTTGTTTACATTGACAGAAACTCTCAATATCTGCTTTAGTGATGCCTGCTTTTTCAGGGATGTCAGCTGATACATGCAGTGTGAGTTCCAGAGTTTGTGTCCACTTCAGATCCTATACAAATCATATAGTCTGCAATCGTCTTTAGAACCAACATTGTTAAAATATTACTAAATGGTGACATCTCTTTTTGCCTTAATTAATCTTTATGGTAAAATAAGCCTCATCTCTCCTCAGTACTCCTCTGGTTAATTAAAAACTCTAGTACAAAAAGGCCCTTACAGTTCTAAAGTTAGATTTGCAGTTAAGAATGTTGGCAGGGTTTAAAAGTATCTCTTCACAGGCATAGTTAGGTAGCTGTGTTCAATAGGAACATAGCTACTCTTCAAGGTCTTTCTTCATATTTGCTGTTGGCCATAATTGCTACCCCTGCCCTTGCAAATGGAATAGATTTTGTAAGTACAAAAAGGAGAGCTCTTTCTAGGCTGGCAAAAAAAAAAATGATGTTGCACAATACACTAATACAATCTAAATTGGTGCTCTCCTTCTAAATTGGATAATTGAAACGTATCTGGTTTTGACCGAGGTTGAGCAGTTCACAAGCTCTAGTAGACAGGTTCAATAACAAAAACCAGACCTTCTGCTTGCCAGAAGTCTGTCCGCACCTGCTATAGCTGAGCTGTCAATCACAAATATCTGCACAGGTTTACATAACACAACCTAGAATGTGAAGGGTTACAGGTTACATGGGTGGGGGCATGGAAGAAAGTTATAATACTATTCAGGATTACAACTTAGCAGTGGAGACAACAAGGGTAATGTGCAAATGTGTAGAAACTCATTGCATAAAATCAGATTTCATTGAGTAGATGGGAACAAATATATATTCTGGTCAAACACATTGGGGGGAATTTATCAAACTAGAGCAGGCAGAATCTGGAGCAGTTGCCAATGGCAACCAATCAGCATCTCTCTTCAGTTTGCTCAGTTGAGATTGAAAATGAGAGATAGAAGCTGATTGGTTGCAATCAGGGACGCAAATAGAAATCACAGGGCCCCATAGCAAAATTTTGTATGGGGCCCCGTGATTGCTAGTTATGCCACTCTATGGTGGGCTCTGCAAGGTCTCAGTTGGGCTGCACGCCTCTTACCTGTCAGCGTTGTCCACCTCCGTTGTTGCCGCTCGGCCCACACGGCATCAGAGGGATGCCCTGGCCGGGCCCCCCTGTGCCCGGGCTCCATAGCGGCCGCCTGGGTCGGTATGGCGATTGTTACGCCACTGGTTGCAATGCAAATCGGCTTTAGATTTTGTCTGCTCCAGTCTGATAAATTCCCCCCATTGTCTCCATATCAGCTGTATAAATTAGCTATGGGCACTGTTCTGGTGACGTTACATAATCCCACAGTACTTTCATTTTGATTGCTAGCTTTTTTTTATTGGGGACTTTTTTTTACTTAAATTTTTTTTTTTTTGCTGCAAGGCTTCCCATTAAAAAATGGGTTTTTGTTTCAGGGGGGTGGTATATTGGCATTTTTAAATAAACTTTTAAAAGGAAGAACATTGTTTATTATCATATGGTGATACAGCCTTGTTTGTAGGATAAACTCCTTTTTTTGCAAGCCTTCCCTTAAAAAAAATAATGGGTTTTTATTTCAGGGGGGTTTAATTTATTTTTTTACATTTTTATTTGATGTCAATGGGGCCTTTTTTAATTTGCGGTGCCCAAGGTTCATCATTCACTTCGTATTGACCATCTGTTCTGGGATCTGCCTTTTGTTCACAGCCTGCCACTACATTGCTTGAAAAAAACAAAACACAAGTGCAAGAACAGTGTGCCCTTAAATCACCTCACATTATATCACTTACATTCACCTCATCACCCTATCACCCTAGATAACAGTTAGGCATACTCCAGTTAGACCTATTCTTTATGAATAAACTGTCCTGCTGCTGGCTGTGTCATCTGTTGTCTCCTGCAGTAAAACACTTGCCTGTACGATTTTATATTACAGTAAATTTCGCCTTAAAAAAATTTTGTATCATCTGTCATCTCTTAATTTCTAATGAGAACTTGATAAAAATTGGGAAGTGGCAGGTCATTTCTACATCAGCGGGAACAGGGACAGCCTCAGTGAACTACTGCTTAGTGTCTATGCTAACAAAAAAAGAAAAAAGTATTTTCCTCAAACTTAAATGAATCATACTGGGGTGCTACTATATGCAAACCAAGCTAATTGTCAGTTCCACAGCCCAATATGCCCTGCCAGTGTATGCTATCGCTCAGACTGTCTGTGGAAATTGTACAGTTATTGAGGGTTATTTATGCGGTCACTGACACCAATGCTGAAGGTTATTACTGTGGACACTAACACCAGTGCGGGGGCTATTATTTGTGTCAGTGCCACAAATGCTGGGAGTTTTTATTGCCGACACTGACACCAATGCTGTGGGGGTTTATTGCTGCTATTAACACCAATGCTGTTTTTTTTTTAATTATGGCCACTGACCCCAATGATGATTCCAAAATGTGTGGGTAGTGAGGTGTATTACATCCCATTCAGTTTGAATTGATGCAATGCACCTCAATAGATGAAAACGAGCTGCTATTATGCAGCTCTCTGGAAGTTGGCAAACTAACCATCTCTGGTCTAATTACTGTACCAGTCACCTGTATGCCAAACCTTTCCATTTTATTACCTAATATTACTCTGTAATAAAACATTTCCATTATGAACATACTGTATAATCAAGTATTTTATCACTCATTAACTTTTTGCAGTCAATAATTAACTTTTGAGAAAGAGTAAACTACCTTTATATAGAGCTGATATTGTGTGTGTTAATAATTATCAGGACATAACCACATAGAGACAAATCCCATGAAAAAGAATGCTATCCAGTCATTAGCTTGTTCTGTGGAACAAGGTCACTGAAATGAGGATTAGCTCATAATGATTTCTGCCGGATGTGACTAGTTGTCCATTACTGTATATCCTCGCTCAGCAGGTAAAACTACTACATCCTGTAATCTGTAGTCTGATCCATAAAAGTGTAGATTATCTACAGAAATGGCTCATTATAGAATTTAGATGATCGCCAATATATGAATGGCCACTTGAATCTCCTTCCTAGTTGTTTGGATGGAAAATGCAGAGCTTTAAGTAACGTATCTCCACCAGTAAATTGCTCTCAAGCAGCTACTCTAATTGTCACTATATGGGTACCTTGTCCATACTGTCTATATTTGTCAGACTTTGCCGTAACTTTAGCAAACATGTTGTACACTGCATCACCCTCATTCAAAGAACAGAAATCACAGGCAGCACATA